CACACACACACACACACACACACACACACACACACACACACACACACGCACTCGGATCATCACACAAACATGCAACAAGGACAACAATGGGAGGATATTGGCATCGCTGGATGAGTTGTGTTAACGTGATCGTGATCGATAATGTGTTCCTTACTTCAAGAGTATTAACCCTAGTATTTATGAAATTAAATAATAAACGCCAATCTTAAAAAACATTTGTATTTATTTGACCAATATTTACAAGCTTATCATGCCAGAGGAGCATCCGCCAATCAAAACAAGTATCGGATATTATATAAACAGCCTTTCACTAAGTTCTACCGCTGTAATAAAAGGACTAAAAACCAACTCGATCATGTGAGCCAGGGCCGCCAACTGTCATTCGAAGGAAGACGAGAACTAAAATGTGAGAGTGAGTTGCGGAAACAAAAGAGTGTTGGTCATTGTGGTGTGTGCTCAGGAACAGCAACCCGCTATGTGGCTGTGTGTCAGCCAAAGCCCACAGACCAAGAGTCTGAACTGCAGTACAATGGCTCGTTTGTCCACACCCCCAATGTTTCTGTTACCATATGAGGTCGAGACTGTAGGTAATCGGTCTCAAGGGGCTCTCTGATGGGGTACGTACATCACTGGCATACTAAGCTAAAAAACAACAACACTATGTGTGATTGAATTGACTTAATCATGCCTGAACACAGTGAGGAAGCAGCATTCTTTTCCGGCCTTCCCTGATTGTAGCATGACATACAAGAATGCTCATTTAAATGGAGGCACCTGCACACCAGCCATGCTAAACAGGTCAAAGGGAATAGAATAGCATTATTACAAAGAACAGAAAAGGCCTTATGAACCATGAAGAAGACAGTCAATACTAACAGGTAGCCTAAGTAGCTCATCTACAAGTGTAGTTTGGGTAAACACATTTTCCATATTGGCCGATAAAGATAGATTTTTGGTAGCTACACGGCAGAAACTACAGCCACAAAATATACCATCAGCTGATATTGCATACCCTCCTCACGCCAAGAATAAAGACAAACGGAAACAGTAACACAGTGTAATATAAAGAGGGAGTAGCCTCGTTACCACATTATTAATACATACGTCACTCATACAAATGGCTGATCGGCTCCTTCACGGCCAGAAGACGGATTTCTATCGTGGTTGAACTTTTGCATTCATGCCAAAAGTCTGCTTGAGAGCTGAAAAGCGGCCCTTTTTTTCCAGACCGTCTCAGTCGGTTCTTCCCATCTGCTGCGCTCTCCCACGTCAACACTCCAGGTTTGACAGCTAATTATAAACAACCTCTACAGCAAACTTTTTCTCCCCATTTCATCTGACCAAGCTGGCTGAGCCCAAACCAAAATGCTGACTGCAAGCCCTTTCATCTTGATGGCAAAGGCAGGTGGTTGACAGAATCTGTGCTTTTCAGTTGTGTGTGTGTGTGTGTGTGTGTGTGTGTGTGTGTGTGTGTGTGTGTAACCCCTGGTCTACTCAACCATCTGAAAGTAGACCTGGCCCTGTTTTTGTGCAGAGCAGCAGGAGCTTATTTGACATGTTTTAAATCATTTCTTACCCTCTTAGGCCTCCAAAAGTGAGAGAAACGGTGGGAAAAGGCCGAAGTGTATTGAGAAAGACCAAGTTCAGCCACATGCACACACACACACACACACAAGCCCAGTGAATCTTTTAAAGTCTGCAAGGTGTTCCAGCCAATGAAGTTTGGCCGTGACGCTAGATGTCACAGCAGCATAAAGGCCTTTGTGCCAAACTGAATGTAATCAATGAAAACTCCTGTCACTGCTCCCATCTCTGAGACTTGTGTCCGAGACAGGGGCATTACAAGCAGTACCAGGGGGGCGGGCACACACACACAGACACAGACACACACACTCAAATGCCAACACACAGGGGGGGCTTATCTCCCACAGCCCAGTCCCACAGCGATGAGTCAGCACTCGTCTCACCAGCTGCTTTCCAAATCACTGCACTCGATACACAGGCATACACTTCACAACCGCAGCCATCACAGTATTAGGAGCACAAACAGAACCTCACTCTGCTTTGAAGCCTCCCCGGTTGAGAACGACAACAAACATGAACCCGACTCACTCACACACACACACACACACACGCTCACTTTGAAATCATTTTTGACGAGACATTAAATGGCCCACTAGCCTAAGTGGTTGGCTCAGAGCTGATCTCATCCACTTTAAGTCTTAGCTTTCAACAGTCACCCTTCCACCCATTCTATGCACACCATAGCTACATGGACTGCAATATTCTCTTTCACACCCTGTTTTACTGCCTCTGTAGAATGAGGGGGCCAAGAACAGAAATGTGTGTCCCCTTGTACCTGTAAGCATTTCCTAGGATAGTCAGTAATAGTATAACAAGTATTTACTACATGTTTGAATTAAACTCACTCCCTGAATGCCCAGGGATCTACAACAGTTCAACAACAGGAACAGGACACACGTTATCCAACACCTATATCACTTATGGGGAAAAAAGCGATTGACCCCGTTATCTTTATGACCGACTGTGCCACCTTCAGCAACTGCAACCGACATATCTGATAAGTGGTCATCAGTCTTTCACGTCACTGTAGAGGAATGTTGGCTCACTCTTCTTCACAGAATTGCTTCAATTCAGCCTCATTGGAGCATTTTTGAGCATGAACCGTCCACGTATGTTCCTTCCACGGCATCTCGACTGCATTCAAGTCAGAACACCCCAGAATTCAGGGCTTAAAATACAAAACTTAAAAGAAATAAACGGTGATGTGTTAAATATTCTGTGACTTTATTGTATTTTTTATAGGATGGGTCGCATGATGACATAATGGATGTCCTAATTTGTTACTCAACATTAAAAATAATGCATCCACCCATCTCCCTTGCTTGTTTTTTGGGGATGTAGAAACAATAACAGGCTTGGATTTGAGTCATTGTCTGTCTTTCTGTAGCTTAATCCCAGCCAGAGCTCTTCTTTGTTTTGGATGTCACAGATGGGATTTCTGGCATCATGTTTTTCACCACGAGTAGCAAAACCTCACTTGTTCACCGGCACAGTGAGAACACTGGCCTTTACACACAGGTCCATACTTAACAGCTTTTAAGAAAAACTCCAAATTCAATTTCAAGTTGAGTATAGTGGAGCCTTTAGTCGCCTTTAAGCAGCGCTTCCAAAGTGTGTTAATCTGTACTGCAAGCACACGAAAAATGTGTGCCGTGTTCTCAGGCTGGGTTCAGATGGCAAAGGTGGTGATTACCGTGGTCACCGGGGAGAAAAGAGCTGGCAGGTCTGAAAGAGCCCATTATAAGTAGGTTTTTATGAGTTCTCCCTCTTGTGAAACTGTCAATACAAACAAACTACTCACAGATTCTCTCAACCCAACTGAAAGCTTAGTTAGAGCTCTTCCAAAGAAACTAAGCAATGTTTGTGCCGTTCATTACAGCACCGCTCCAATTATATCAGAGCTGGCTGCTTTGGCCTAATTACACACCGTTGTGTGCCAGACATGACATATTCGTAGCAACCTGGAGATGGAAGCATACCAAGGACTCCTGGCCCCGTTCAGATAGTATCTTTGACTGACTCTGATGCAGGGCCTCTGTCGGGTGACATTCCACTAATACTAAATGACAACGACTACGGTTAGGAACCTAAAATGTTACCAGGAAGTTTTAAGTTTCCATGCACTGCCCTAACCTCAGTTTGTGCCTCTCATGTAAGACATGACAATGTAGTGTGTGATACCCATGTGCTACATAAAAACAAGTAAATAACATACATATAAGTCTAGTAATCGGAAACTTTTGGCTATTTCCCATGTCCTGTCGATGTGATTGCAGCTTTTAAGACTGACTTTAATACATAAACAAAGAAAGGAAAAAAAGATATATCCATTATTGGTCTTTTAAAGAAATGTGTTGGTAATGAAAATAATGAAGCACCACACTGACCTCACCAATAAAGGTGATAAAGTGAGATCTATAAGGAACCAAAAAATACCATTGAGCCAACAGCCGGAGATGTTCTGGTCATGGTTAGATCTACAAAAGGGGAAATGAATAATCTGTGTTTATGACATTTTAAATGATCCATCTGACATCTTAACATCTAGTCTTAGTACCTATTCATGAATAGAAAGTCAAGCATTTTAGAATCCAGTTAAACAATTAGGAACATTTTTAAAAAGACAGTGGTGCAAATGTGTCCCCCTCTCTTGCAAATAGTTACAGAATTAAGTAGTTTTCTAAAATAAAAGCTCTCGTGACCAGAGACCACCTTTAGTTTCCCATGTTGTAAAACACTTAAATCTACAGATAAGGCTTAACCTAGTAACAGGAGAACTCTCTGCTAAGGCCTTACATAACTCATACCAGCCGCCTCTCAACATAACAACACACACAAGAGAAGGGTGACACCATGAATCATATTTATGGCTACACATGACCAGGTCTGTTTGCAGACGATCTAATTCCGGAAATAAGGACACCAGACAAACAAGCTGCTCCTGAGGGGACCTGGGAAAGAAGCAGCTGAGGAAGTTATGAGAGACACTATTTTACAAAGCTACCAAACTGTCTGTTTAATAGAGAGCTGGGGCTCGTTTCCAGTCAATTGAAATAAATGATTCAGTGAACTACAGCCCACAATAGATGTCTTAGATCATCTCCATTTAATATGAGCCACAGCTACATGGTTCAGTGTGTTTGAATGAAAAGTATTGCAAATGATGATATCGTGCTGCTGTCATAAGGGTGAATCATAATGTGACTTCAGGGAAACGGTAGACAAAGACCTTCGGATGTAACAAAGCGGATTAGTATCAAAGCCATGGCGGGGTCAGTGGGCTGGGTTTCAGGCCAAGAGTTATTGTTGTCAAACCCCTTGGTGTGTCTTCTTCCCTTTTCTATCGGCTACAGACAGCAGAGCATTACTGGGCCAGACACGTCAGGACGACATCATCTCAACTTCAGACATTTCATGGATTTGATTATTATTGTGTTTTGATCTCCAAAACACAACGACTAGCTGGTCGTGTTGTGGTCCGTCCAAACAGTTGGTCAGTTACCTGATAGGGGGGCGGTGGCTCCTGGTCCGGGTCTCCGTAGCTGGCCCGGTCCGACTGGGATTCATGGAGCAGAGAAATATCATCCGAGGTCGGAGATTTCAGACAGTTTCCCATCTCTTTACCTCTTCGGTGGAACTCTCTGTCTCTCTCCCCGTCTCTCGCTGTCGCTTTTACTAACGTTACACAGCGGGATGCGACGGGCCACTGTCACAGATAAATGTCAGCAGGCGAGAGAAGGCGTTTCTCCATACACAGCTGATGAATCCGCTCTCCCAGACGGCGGGAGGGCTGCTCAGTTCAACAACAACAACATTACCTCAGCTAGCAGTTAGCCACACAAAGAACTAGCTAGCTCGCACAAAAAGCTAGCCCTCGAGAGCATCTATACTCGGTTTGCTGAAGTTGTACGACGGAAACAACCTCACAGGATGTTGTATTAGCGAGATGAAGAACATACGAATATCCTTCATTTAAAACGACAAAACCTCACTGCAGTGTTGCTGTCTGAAAGCTTCATAGACGTCAGGGACTTTCCCGTTTGCAGCTGCTGAAGAACGACAAAAGGTGGCGAAGTAGCAACACGAAGCCCCACCCTTTCATCCAACCAACCAATGAGCGTACAGCTACATCCAGCAAGCTCTTGTTGGCAGCCAATCAGATTCGAGATCACGTTGCCCTTTGCTGAAACATAAACACAGAGCTAAAATCGATAAATGAGTCTTTGTGATTGCAATTTCAAGCCAGGTTTTCCTATTACCAGTACTGGCCTCGAAATATTTCTGTCTGTTGCTACTCAATTGCATACGTCTTTATTTCCAATTTAATATGATGTCTATAATATTCCAACACCCACTGTCTTCTTATCTCTGGCTACCAATACCTTGCACATCAACAAGAAGAAATGACTTAACTGTATCTGGAGGATTAGATCACACGTATGAGAACAAAGAGTGCAATGATTTGCAAGCAAGCAGTATTCTCTTTGTCCTGTAAATAATACCACTTTGTACTGTACACATTGTATTGTGTGCTGTTTTTGTGGTGCACAAATGACAAAAAAAACCGACACAAAATGGCATTTGTTTTTTAGTTGCTTATCATCATATCATCTTATATTACAATAGAAACATTCAGTATGTACAGGAATGTCATTCTGCTCAGTAGTAGCCGTGCCCAATAAAATACGCAGATTGTAAACATCACAATGCCACTACATTTGGTTAGCGTTTCTTTCAGTTATATCTGCAAAACTAAATTGAAAAAAGAAAATAAATTGAATCAATTATCAGTAAATTAAATATATTTTTTTACCTAAATATTCAGGAGAGCTGTTAAAACTATATTGAAAGTACATTTCCTTCACCATTAAAAAATTATACTGACTTCTAGTCATCGTCTTGAATCCCAAACCTTCATCTAATCATGAATAAATCAGCAGTGCTCTTATTCCAATACTTGAGACACCATCTGAGTTTTCAGGTTTTAGACACTGTTGCTGAGACACAGCCCTTTAAATAACCATGGCACCAACACGATTAGAGGTGACCCCTTTCTGTCTTATCATCAATCATTACAAGTGTTTGTTCATATACAGATTATTATTTGAGCGTGGTTTAGAGGTCCATGTCCCTTGATAGGTGGTTGTAGTCAAGCATGGCAGATACAGGAGCAGCAGAGGACATAAAGCAGGAAGACTGTGGTGGTTCCCGTTCAGAGCTTCTTTACTCACTAAAGATGCAACAGGCGGACAAGCACGCAGTCCTTCGCTGCTCAGCATGAATGGCCTATTTGTTCAAGCTCAAGTACTGTTGGAGCCTGTCCCACAAGCCAGGAGGAGAAAAGGAGGGAGTCTGCCTTTCTAAAAGACACATTCATCTGTCCTCTTAAAACGGGACAATTCGTGTAAAAGGTGCCATTTACAATATATAAATGTAAAGAACAACTCTCACTGCAACTCTGATTCTTTGACTCTGATTCTCTTGACGGCTGGCTGATTTACAAAGCTCTGTGCAAAAGCCATTACATGTGAATGTAAATACGACAGGATTGCAGATGTAATTATTTCTTCAGAAGGAGACTGAAATAAAATGTTCCACATGAAGAAATTTGAAATATTTCAATATGTTTCAAGGAAAGGAAAAAATGTAAAAGAAACAATAAAATGTTTACTCACTCTGAGAAACACAATGAACCACAGTTTATAGAGTGTTAAAGTGAATCCAACATATAAATAATGTTAATCTATTTCGGTCATATTGGTTTTTGATCAAATATCTAAATACAGGTGAAACCTTTCAACTGTTCCACAATCTCATAGTCTGATGATATGATATGTACCTGATGTCAAACACATAATCTCCCATCAATAATCTTTAAAATATATTAAAATTGGTGGGAGAGCTTAGTTAGTGTCGGTAATTTATATGGGGGGTATTTGGGACACCACCCTGAACTGGGCACATTTTTATCCTGGGGTAGTAGTGGAGGCAATCTGCAGTATAAACTACACAAATGTCACCTTGTTTCCTACCTTTGTGCTCCCCTCATGGGGGGCCACTGTGCTAGACAATCAAGCCTGCTAGAAGTACTGTTTCATAAATATAGGCACATTTCTCAAAACATAATTTATATCTCTGAAAAAGGACGTAGCAAACCTGCCTTATCCAGTCAGGGCCGCACAGAGTTGCAGTCGCCCGAAAGGGCAACACACATGAGGAAAACAAGCATCCATCTTCTTTTACCCTTCTGATGAATGGGCGGGGCTGGGTTGGGCGGAGTGTAAAATTGTGGGACTACAGTCAGAGAAAGCTGTCTCTGCTCTAGTGTGCCCTCCTCTGTCTGTTATGGGCTGGAGGCAACATGGATGCCGTTCTCCCCGGGGCCCTTGGCCTTGTGCAGAGCAGCCTGAATACGGAAGTGTGTCCGTGATTCCATCGAGTAGTGCTTGTAATTTTGCCTGAAACAGAGTAAAGAGTAGTTGTTTACAGAGTAAACAACACAATCAAAAAATAGCCCCAGGGGTAAATCTCAATCTAATTCCTTGTCTTACATGAAACCCATGAATCATAAGGAGGGTTTACAATCAGGTACACGCAAACCTTGTCATTTATTCAAACACTCATTGTACGATTTATTGAAAACCACAAAGAATAATTATTGTGGCATTTTTAATTTTAAAAACAATGTCAGAGTGATGACTTGTAGGTATACACACTGTGTGAAAAAGTGGAGAACCTTTGATTCAAAAAGCTTCTTTGCGAGCAGAGACGATTTGAATATGTTCTGCTGGTTGATAGACTTACTTTGCAGTTTCTAGGAGTCTGATAGCTTCAGCTTTCTTGCCTTGCTCCAGACACAGCAGGCCATGCTCCAGCAGGGCATTAGGAACCAGGTAGTGGTCGTACCTGATCTGAGACTCACTGCGGATAATGTCAAAACACAGTGGTCACAGTATGGAGGTGAAGCCAGTAGGAAATAAGATGCCCTCCAACTGTTGTGCAGTTTGTTTGTTTTAAAACAGAACCGCCTATTATCATCAGAGGATGCGCAACAAATATGATCAGGCTAACTGGTGAAACTAGAGCATCTGTTTTCTGGTTTGGTTGAGCGTGCATATACTGTACATGTCTGTGCACATTACTGAGAGAGGCTTACTTGCAGAGGACGAGCGTAAAGTAGTGTTCGGCTTCCTCTTGATGCCCCAGGTGTTTGAGACACAGTCCCTTCAAGAGGCTCAGGAGACACTGGTCATCTACGGTGAACTCCGACCCTGAAAAACACAACAGGACAGATTACAAAACAGATTACCAAAAAAAAAAGGTACAGTAATTCTGGACAAACAGAAGGATTATATCTAAAGATTATATAATTCTCTGACATGCACACAGTAAACGTAGCATCAGTATAGCATCTAATATAAAGGCAATTCATGTTAGCAAATGAATATCAACAGAAAGTAAATGATCATTCATTACAATGATCCTCTTGGTTCTAGTAAATCATTTTTCATACTTGGGGTGCTGTCAAGTTTAGCTTGAGCCTCGCTCAGTGTTTTCAGCATGCCTTCGGTCAGGTCTTTGTGTTTTCCAATGACTGTGTAGCCGTTCCAGATGTACATCATCTCCTAGACAACACAAATACGAATATCATTGATAGAGGCAAACATTAAAAAGTATTTTCTTTGTGACAAAGCTCAGCTCTCTTTATGAATTTGACTTAAACAAAGGTTATTCAGTCGGAGCTTTTAAAAAATGCCTACGGTACAATAACCTGCTAGCCACAATGTCAGCAACTCAAGGAGTGCCAGAATAACAAAGTTAGAGGTCTCCACCTTTGCTCATAGTGTTAGGTTTATCTATTTCATACATTCATACAGTCATTGAGCATTGTTCTCTGTCAACCTTCCACAGCCTTTGTTACAGGCTGAAATCTCTGTGAAACAGAACAAATGTTGTACCTCTTAACCCTGGTTCTGTGAGCACAGAGTTTCCTCTTTAACTCGTCGCCCTGCTGCTGACTTTGTGGATAGCAGGTTTTATACAATATAACAGCTATTTATACAGCCTGACCAGGAGGGGCTGGTAGCTCCCTCCTGATTGAAACATCCAGCATGCAAAATGTCAGCATGAGGTTGACAGAGCTTGTTATAGGACAAAGCCTTTGTGAAACAAAACTACTAAAATGTTACTGATACTGTGTACGCATCCAGTCATGCTACAAGTAAAGCGGTGCGACATGGCAAAAAGCCTCGTCCAGTACTGACCAGTGGAGGAGCGGGAAGAGGAATTGGGTTTTCTGCAAGGTAGCGACGGGCTTTCCTGATAGCAAACTTCTCGGTTGGTAAAGATTTCCCCGCTATCTTCTGCTTCAGCCCTGGGACCTGCCTGAAATATAATAAAGTATACACATACGTATCAGTATTATGGAGAAAATATTTGACTTACAGTTAACTTTCCACAAGTTCTTACACACCTGCTTAAAAATGTGATTGACCAATCAAATGTTCAATTGGTGGAGCATTTTTGATGCTGTGCTACCATCAATAAAACACTTGTAAAACATTTATGAACATATTGACACCAAAGACAGCCTTATCCCAGAAGAAGAGATGGTATCACAGATATAACTGTTAAGCTGTCACAGTGAATCATCTCTATTTCACTGTGGTTGCTGCAAGTATTTTTAGTAGCGCCTAAGCTCTTAGCTCACACCTGAACAGAGTGAACGCAGTCTCCCCGAAGGTTAGGCAATCATCCGGAGTCAGCATGCTGAGGTATGCTGCTTTCATATACGCATAAGTAGCCTGAAGGAAGGAAAGAAGAGGTTACTACTGCAATTCCATCTTTCCCTTATAAATGAGATAAGGAGAGAAAAAAACTGTGACTGTGTAGAATTTAGAGAGTCAGGCCAGGCTTGCACAAGTCTTTAGTTTGATTTTAAGACATTTATTATATATCATAATAATAATATGACAAGCCACTACAAGCTGCTGATAAGGCTTTCTGTCTCTCTAAATAGTACAAAATATTTAACAGGTTTTTTTCACCATCACGATCATACATTGAATTGTATTATGCTTTGTATATTGTTGCTGCCAGAGAGAGGGACTGACTTACAACTTAAGTGCGCCCCCTAGAATTGAACCGGGGAGCAATTTGTTTTTAAGGTGTGGGTCACAACCCCCGAGACGCTCAACGTGCTGGTGATATTTATCTTAGAATGATTACATGTTACTCGAGAAGCTGAGAAAAAGGTCAACAACATTTCTGTTCATGAAAACCGCTTTAAATAATTTGATAAATCCAAATTTTTCCGCTACACGAAGAATAAGATTGACGTCAAATCCCACACCCCGGTGGCCCACCTTGGACCAAGTGTTCTCCTTGCTGAGCAGGTCGGCGTAGAAGTAGGCCATCTTCCAGTGCCTCTTGTATGTGAAGCACCACATCAGCTCCCAGTAACACATGTGGTGGAACTGCTTCCACTGCTGCTGGACCTCGCAGCACTCCTCAAAGCGCTTGATAGCCTGAAAAAATACAAACCATTTCGGATCTCACCTTCTTAAAACATATTCAGTGTGAAAGCTCATGTGTGGCGAGCGGCTCGACACAAATCATGTTTGAATGGGTCGATGATTATGTGTAGAGGACACAGAGGGCCACGTTTTGTTTACTTTATCTGTCGATGAGGACAAAATCAGTTGAAGGACGTTAAGATTGGAAGAAGTGACATAAATGTCTTCCTTTCCTGTTGCTACTGCCATATCGTAGAAATAATTATAGCCATACAGTATTAGTATGTGGAAGGTGATTCTTTTCATTTTATATTATTCTTGCACTTGTTCCTTTAGCAGGGGGCAAAATGTGATCCGGTGCTAGATGTGAATTCTCTTTTAATATACATATGTAATGCAGTAGAAAAGTTGTAGCAGTGGCAAATGTTCATACACATTAAACTGACATTTTGAAATGCAAAGCAGGACACAAACACACACGTGTGATCAACCCTACAAAGTTTGCTTTGCAAGATAAACCCAAATGCACCATTCATTAAGTATTTGTGAAATGCGTGCGGACAATTATCATGATTAAAAGATGACAATACATCAGCGGTCACAAAGGAGCGGGGTTTGCTGTGGCATAGTCTTCCAGGAAGGCAGACTCACAAACAAAACAGTTCTCAGTAAAAAGATGACCACATCCTTTTACACTTTTTTTCATCATTTTACTCTTGCACTTAAATTCAAATAGAGGCTAACAAACTTCAATACATTTGTAATGCATGATGCATTAAAAACAAAAACAATCTACATGAGATGTGCAGTGCTGAATGTGGATTGTTTTGTCTGTGTGCAGAAATGTCGAGCACTCACAGCATCCAAGTTGCCTTTGATCTCTTCTATTCGACCAGCGAAGAACAAGAAGATGGATCCCTAGGAAGAACACCAGCCACAGTATGTTTGGCAACAATTCTAACTGTGCAGGATTTTTTGTTTTTGTTTTGTTTGTTTAATTCTGGCAAACCTGAGGATATTTTTGGAGATATGGCTGCAACAGTTTCTCTGCATCTTCAACATCTCCTTCTCCAGTGCCTGCGAGACAAAACATAATAAAACCAGTTCAGATCTTTGCCTGTTTTTGAGGTTGGTTGCAGCCGCATGTGTGTCTCACCAAGTATGAAGCTCATGAAGGTGTGATAGCAGAGCAGCAGCATGTTACAAAGAAAGGACCTGAATGTGTTTTCTGCGGAGCCCTCCAGAAGCTGCTGAAGACCAAACTCCTGCATGAACAAACACACACACACACAGACGTGCAAATAAGAGTTGTTTCAATTTTGCATCATTTCCGGGAAGATCTGCTGGTGAAAGCTGCAAACACCACGCAATTTGAAGACCTTTTCTGTGCAGGAAAATTACAGAGGCAAGAACTATATAGTGTAGTTTTCTTATTAAGTTTGTGCTGAAGGATAAGCAAAAGCTGCTTGTCTACCAGAGTACTTTTAGGCATCCAATCTGAACCAAGATCAAATGCCACAGATAGGCTTTTCTGCAACATATGCAAATATGCATATATATATATATATACAGGATATACAAGCATGGAAGATAAATTAATCAAATTATGAGAATAATACCCAAAGCGATATTTGGACCTAAATGCTGAATAGCATCACTTTTCAGATTATTTTGTTTGGTGGCTACATAAGACAAATTAACGGTGACAGAATCAAAAAATAAAAACATTTCTTTTAGCTCAACAATGAATAAAAGGAAGTTGTAATCCAGAGAAATGGTACAGTCATAAGTTACCACGATCAAAGCAATATCTCAGCCATTCACCTATCAAGTTGTAAAAGTTTGGTTTCACTATACGTGTCAGGTTCAGCACTGTCAACTCAGTACTAGTCATATAGTTACACCACTAATAACAGGAAGGATTTACTATGAATCAATGCACCAGCAAAGCTGAAATTACAGATACAATTTACGCCTTCCACATGCACTTCTCATTGTTAACAGCAAAGACCCAGCACTTCCCACATCACTGAACAATCCCTCCCCTGTCAAACATCTCTGACTCGACCCATTACACCCTCAGTCCTGCCCGCTGCTCCTTCTTTCAGCCATAAATGGCGCTCACATGTCAGCAGATCTCACCTTATTACCAGTGAAACCGACAAACTCCATCAGCTTGAGCGTCCGCGTGGGCAACATGGAAATCATCTGCAGGAAGTAGACAAGCAGTGCAATTGAAAGGCCAGCAGCAGGATTACAGAGTCCTCCTCCTTTCTTTGTCATTCGGACACCAGTGGTCTCCAAACATATGATCTTGACTTTCATAAACATACTGTAAAAGGGCCACAGGTTGTCCAGTAATTACAGATGTCTTCCAACCTACTTCTACTGCAAATAAGTGGAACAGGTGAACAACAACAAGAACACGTGGAAATGAGGAGCACTAAACGCAAAACACACTGCTTGTTAAATCTCAGCTGATCTTGCTATATATTCATATTTTGCTCTTTGTGTGCTTCTGTTTAATTCATATAGTTCAGGCTTGATACTCTCTGGAAGACCTGTGTCCCACAATTCATGATGCGATCACCTTTTCTTTGACCCATGTATGACAACAAATGCAGACATTCAGCCTTCTACTTACTAGATTAAAGGCTCCGACTCCCAGTTTAACGCCACCCTCAAAATGGCCGTGATTCTGACCGTGAGAGTATCCAGAAGACTGGAGGATTGTGTGAAGCTCTCTGTGGGGCAAAGGTAAAGGAAGCAGATTAAACAGGGAAACCGCAGGGCTTTACAAGGTGATGGGGGAGAGAGAAAAAAGGTCTGCTGGATTTAAGATTCTCACTTGTATGTCTGGTAGCTGTTCCTGACTTTGATTCCCCCTTTGATGAAACTGATCATGTTTTCATCCTGAACAAGAGAGCAGGAGAGGTAAGAGAAGGAGTTTAAAGAAACATGAAAAGCATCAGAGGTGTCAGATTCAGTGGCAGGCTGTCTGTGTTATCCTGACCTGAAGGAAGGTGAGTGCTGCCCTCTGCAGGAGACACTCAGCGTAGCAAACTTCAGCGTGAAGCTCCTCTGAGGAGAAAAGCATTACGTCACAGTTATCTCGAATCCGAGCAATGGCCAAACACACATACATTCAAAACACACAAACACATGCGCCATCTGTTCTAATGAATTCCGGCGACACATTGGACTCATCCCGTCAGCACAGGGCTTTACTGACCTTCTGTGAAGTTCTTGGAGAAGCTCGACTTCTTGCGTTGCCTGATTGAGGAAGCACAAAATGCAAAACCATCATGAGTGTTTAGCGGGCTCGTTCCGCTGAAAATCTTCAGGATTGTTTTTCAGCAGCACAGCACAAGCCTTATCTTATTTCTATGCAAATCAGTGACTCAGCCTCTTTCACAGGATGCTGAGCTGCTGCCGGGTGAAGTTACAACAAGGTGCTGACCGTGCATTAAGTCTCCTATAAACAGTCACAACATTTAAAAGGAAAACTGCAGCTCTGACCTCGGATCAGTTTTTGGTCTGAAGAAGAGTGGGTGTTGAGATGTACGATTAGTCCAGCGCTGAGTCATGACAGATTCTCATAGCGGCTCCAGCAGTAATTGACAAACATTTGTGACATTCCTTCAGCCAGTGAGTCTGGATGATCTCAGCATGTTCTCTGGTTTTGGTACAACGTTGCTAGTGTGTTGTGTGTCTTAATGTCTAAATGTTTGAGCAACGTCACTCTCATCAGTTTTTATTACGAAAAAATTAATGAGATGTATCTTCAAAAATCGAAATTTTTAGTTTGGAACTAAACTGGCTTTGACTCTGGTCCGAATGGCTTACAAGAGACAAAATTCACTTCTGCAGCTGACTGGAGAGGAAGTAAAAAAACAACCCTGTCACAGTTTATCCGCTGGTCATTGGGGCATTATTACACTCCGGTGTTGTGGGGAAGTCTCACCGCTGACAGATGGCCTGGGCCTCTTTCATGGTGTTTCCTGCAGTCTGGATGTGTTGGGGGTCAAATGTCATCATGGCCTGCATCTCCAGGATGGTGGCATAGGTCAGAGCGTGGTACATGCTGTCTTTGGTTCTGTTGAAAAGACAACACACAATGTTTTTTGTTTTTATATATTGCAAGAGGAAGTTTAAAGATGTCAAACGATCAGCCCTAGTGTGCTGAAAGAGATGACGAAGACGTGAGACAAACATTTTGTTTGATTAAAGAGATCGATCAAGACAGACATGTGATTGAATACATGGATGACTTAAGCCACACCACTACACACGATGAAAGAAAAACAATTAGTCTATTTATACCTGCAGTTGTTGTTACATGTCACGTCACACCCTGTGTTTAAACTGCGTCTTGCAGGTTTAAAGAGATGAAGGAGGAGTAAAAGTGTTAGATGCCTCACACATTTTTCCAGTAGATGTACTTGTTGTTCCAGTTAAAATAGCTTGATGTTCCAGTTTTAAGCCAGTACAGGAACAAATTACTTAAAGCTCTTTCATTTTGGATTGATTTTAGAGGTCCCTATGGACGAACATGCGTGGTTTAAATAGCACTCTGTATGTAGCTGTGTATTGTAGAAGTACTCACACGCACAAAGGAAAGGCAGAATAATGTAAGTAAAACATAAAGGCAGAGGTGTGTTCGAGGAGAATGCTGTCGGTCTGTGTCACTAATATTTCACTGCTATTCACCACAGACTGACTCATGTGACCAGCCTTTGTGATGTCACTTTGAGCTCCAACCAGTCCTCTTAATAACTGGAAACTTAATTTGCACAAACATATTTTTCAACCTATGGAAAAAGAGCACAAAGACACACCGACGTGTTGCTCTTTCACTTCACTTTTACATATATTTGATAAAGAGAAGAAAGACAAATGTGAAAGTTGTATAATGCGTGTAGTTTTTAGTCTAACAGGGTCATGAAACTGCAGCGATAAATCAGGGTTTTAAAAGTATTCAGAGAGTAGAGTTCTTCACCTGAGGGGATAAATAGTATTCATTCTCGTCAAGTGACCAATCAGTGATCAAGAATCAACTTACAACAAGTAAGCACACAGCAGAGAGTCAGAGAAGGCGGAGGTAGAAGCAGAGAGATTTGCCTGCCTTTCATTTCCATTGTGTCCGGCTTATGCAAGACGAGAGCTCAAACTCAAGCCGAGAAACTTGTTAAGACGGAGCAGTGAGGTTAATTGAATTGCTTGTAGTCGTGCTAAAAGCGGCTGAGAATTCCAAATATTTCACAGCAGCACTCAGATATTTTCCAATCAGCACAAAGGTCCTAACCAGTCGGACAGCACTGACGCCAGGTGTCCCACACATTTTCACCATAACGTTCCATGATGCAAAGGAACAGTTGTTTTGTACTTCCTACAAGAAACGCAGGTGTGCATCTGCATCATGTTGTCAGTTCTGTGCTAGTAACAATTAGGAAGTGATGGCGGCGCCCTGGTGGCTCACTGGTGCGTACACCTAAGGCTCAGTCCCTTATTGCAGTGGCTCTGAATGAAGTCTGGCCTGTGGCCTTTGCTGCATGTCCTCCCCTCTCCCTCCCATGACTTTCCTGTCTGTCACTCTCGCTATCAGAATAAAGCAGAAAAGCCCCCCAAAAAACTTTAAAGGAAAGGAAGTGGGGTCAAGGCAGGAGTGTCACTTGCAAAACTGTTTATTTCTGTCAAAATACATAATTGTTTTCAGTGTAAAAGTCTTTTCTGAAAAGGAGTCGTGAAACAGTCATAGAAGGACACAGGCACAGCTCATCTATCGCCACGGTCAGTTGCTGTATTGTATACAGAGGGCATTGTCACACTTCTACAGTACACATCCTGCTTCCACTCCCCGCTAGGGCTGTGAGGAATGGGGCAGACCGGTAGGAATAATGGGAGATTAAGAATGTATACACGTTTGTACAGAGAGCTGGCAAATGAAACTCAGCCTGCTATTGGATACCTTCTACCTTGCAGGCATGTTTCTACAAAGTTGAGTCTGCAGTGGCTCCTTGGCTACGACTCATAGGAGGAGAAACTTAAAGCCTGGGCCTTAAATATCTGTACCCCATCAGAGAGTCGCAATTTAAAGAGAGAGCCCCGCTTACAGGACTATAATGTGTGGTATGAGTTACTGGCAGTGATACTGATACATGGACAATAGCTTAGACTACACAATCTCTGGTCAGACATATTAAAGCAAATATACACTTTAAAACTACAACACTGCACTTAAAAAACTTTAAACCATCCCACAAGAGAATACAACATATACAATTTCGATGGTTGATTCTTTTCACAGAGATTTTTCAATAGTTATGTGAGACAGTTTATAATACACCAGCTTACATCTCCACATAAGGCATATGATAATCGTCCCCATAATGACAGTTGATTGATTGACTCCCTGAAAAACAATTCTGAGATATTTTTCCATTAGAAATACTGCAGGTTGCATGTCGCAATTTCCTTCGACAGTAACAGCCAGAATTTGAGACTTTAAACCCGTTGGTGTGAGTGTAAGTGTATTAAACCTGTAATGCTAACCCTGTCTTCCTCCCGGGGCATGTGGGAACAGGCTGCCAGTGACCATAAACAGGAATGTGAGGGTAGAAGCAGATTGATGAAAGAACATGCAGATGATGAAAGCTCTCTGAAAGAGTGTCTCCAGTATTTTAGTTTCAGAGTGTGTGTGTGTGTGTGTGTGTGTGTGTGTGCATTCTATGGAGACTCACAGCTGGAGGAAGGGGAAAGCAAATTGAAAGAGGAGAAAATTACAAAAAGAAAAGCACACATGGACTAAAGTAGAACACAGACAAACATCGAGGGGGACGAGGGAAGGTTCTGCCGGTGTTTCACATCCTCAGGGCTGCATGTTCCCCCCAGTCTTTCAGAGTATCTATCTCACAATGCAGCAGATATCATCACACCTTACACAATATTACATAAGTCTGATGCTTCAAGCCATCGCCCTCCTCACAAAACTCTTCTCTGTGCAGCAAACAGGAAACAAATTGGGTGTAATTGGGTTTTGTAAAAAGCCAAACAAAATAAAAGTCCTGCCTCAAGTGCTGCATTCAAATGTAAAACAACACAACACAATAATACCTGACCAGATCACCATGCAGGCCCTGACTACCATAGGATAGACGTGTCTTATCTCTTGAATTTCAATCTACAATGGTTTCTGACTCTCATACTGTCCTCCTGCATGTGTCAAATCCAACCATCTGGGCTCAAACAGCTACAAACATGATCATATTTACAGCTTCTGTTTGTTCTGTTTGAGAAAGCACAAGACAGCACTCAGACATCTGTGGGAGGACTATCGAGACAAAAATGAGGTCGCCCGCTGAGCTGACGGACTGCCAATCCTCAGGTAGCAGCAGCTAGAGGTGTTAGATGTAAACAGATTTTCCCTCCAGGTTGGAATATTTCACAAATCCAGATCTAAATACCAAAACATATTATGATTATGACAACAGGTCAGTCTCTTGGCAAAAGCGTATTTATGTAATGTTGCAATGTAAAACTGTCTAAAACTGAGTCTGAGCTTAGAAAATTCAAGGAGAGAAATGACATCACTCTAAACTTTTCAGAAACTTGAAGTGCTAAACACACCAAAACAACAACACGAAACTGACAATGGCTGTCAATCTATGATACTAAGTCATAAAAACAGAGCAGGCTGACAGGAAGCTGTTCTTCTGTCTTCATGTATGCCGGCCCTGAAAAGAAGAAACTGGGGCTAAGGAGTGGTCTGCAGACCCAGGAGTACATAAACGGTGGAAAATAATATCGAAGATGTGATGAAGTTTCTGATACTAGAGAGGAGAATGAACGGTGAACAATGGAGTAACTTGATGACACTAGTGTTGGAATACAAAACTGGAGGCGGGCTGTGAACCCGGAGAGAGACATGTGAATGGGACACAAAGCAGCATTCGAAGCATGTAAAACTTTCGGCCATGGAATAATCTAATCAGCAGCATCAGCAGCAAACACACTAGTTCCTTTAGCCCTCCCTGGTGTGAGCACCAGTATCGCTGTTTCTGATCTGTTACTGTGCCCAGGACTGTGTGTTTACATTTTAAGGTTATTGCTTGTGTATTGATTTGAAATTGGAACTCAAAGCATCAAAAAGTAATTATACCGTACAACATTTACAGTGAAGTTTTCCTAATTTTTGGACATTCTATTGAGCAAATAAATTGATCTATTTGCTTGTAGGAGCGCAGACTCCCACGAGCAAACAATTGAATGTATTAGCTGAGGAACTTTGTAATTAATTAACGAAGGTAATTCAGTAATAGCAACCATATTTGCTGAATCATCATCAAAACAGAAGCGACAGAAGTGTTTGTTTTTTATAGCCGCAGAGGTGCCTTAAGCTAAGAGCTAACATGTTCACGGTGACAATGCTAACAAGCTGATGTTTAGCAGCTACAATGTTTATGTTCACCATATTAGTTTAGCGTGCTAACATTTACTAATTAGCACAAACATCATGGGCCATTTTCATAGTATGAAAAGCACAGGTGTTACTAATAACATTACAATGTCTCTGTTCTGTTCAGGCGTCCCTGTAAGCCATGACAGTGTGACAGTGAGCCTGAAGCAGCTAAATGGACTTCATCATTAGTTCTATCATTTACACCTGTGTTTTGTCTATACGTCAAAATGTCTCCTGTAAAAAAACATTATTGCACGTGAAGGCAGTTTTGCTGTGAAATCTTCCCCTTCTAACACCTGAGGGTTCAAAAACCCCTAAAAATACAGTTGCTTGCATGCATGTTATCAGCTGTTTGTCTTTTATAAGCACAATGCCTGGTGGGTCAATGCGGAGAACAGCAGCTGTATTCGCTCGTGGTTCAGGTGGTTCTCGTACCTGGATCTAAGCCGAGCCTGCGCCTCATCAAAGTCGTTTCTGAGGAACAGATCCAGGGCGGCCATGCAGTCCTCCAGAGCCAGCGACAGGTCTGATCTTGAGCACCTGCAGAACCAGAACAAACACACAACATCTGAATGAGAACAGAAGCCAGCGACAGGTCTGACCAGAGCCAAGTCGGGGGCTTGAGCAGTTCTGATTTCTTAAAATATCAAAATTGAGCAAAAATCAAGTGGCACAAAAATACATTTGAAATACCTGTCACTCAAGTTCAGTATAAATTCACAGCTTGGGGAAATAAGCAACCGTCTTTAAGTGGACATTTAGTTTAAAATTAAACTACTCTGCCTCTCTCACTTTTGCTGTGACCCTGATCTCATCTTTTACAACAAATACCGTCACCAAGCACTGACCTACAACAGAGACTGGGATCCTTATATAGGCTCTGTTTATTTACATCCTTTACTGAACCCTTTCTACTCCTCTACTACATCACAAGAGAAACAGAAACACAGGCAGGCTGAGCCAGACAAGCACACAGGCTCAATAGAGTGCTTTGCTGTTAGTGTTGCTGCATTAAACTGCACATTACCGAGCTTTAATCACAGTTATTCAAAAACCATCCACTTTTATAGAAATACATGCTCAGGGAGTAGTTTTTGAACAATATCCTCTTTATTAAATGAGAAGAACGGATGTTGCTGCTGCCTTGAATGATTTCTGTCTCTAGTAAATAGAGCTCACTGCTGTACACTGTCTGAACTACTCTAAATGATTGTTGATGATGTTGCTGCGTATTTAGAGTTCATTACACAGCGTACATGGTCCTCACGTGACGGCTGACTAATGGGGCCACACTGATCATGCACTCCTTCATCACAAGGCTCCCTCCTCTTTGACTTCACTCGCTGTACTGATAATGGATCTGTTTAAGTGTGTGTTTTATTCCTTCACTTCATTGTGAGAACAGCACGCAGCCTGTGAAAAACACATTCATGAATGAATGACGTTGATGGTAAATCTGAAACACTGATGAAAGATACATTTTCGTGTGTATCATATGTATATGTACCATGAAATTCTTGAAAAAGTGGCATATTTTGTTGTTCATTTGTTTGTGATGTGTGTTTTTTTGTGAAATAGGAACCTGATTTCTATTTAGTTTCGTCTTGAAATGCAGTTTGGTTTTGTGCTTGGAGCTTCCAGGCCACCGTATTGATCACATGAGCGTGACAATTATTCCCTGTTAGTCAGTCAGTCGGTGTTACCTTCAGATGTCTGCAGCAAACAACGATGATGAAGAATAGGAGAGCAGGAACTGAACAAACAAAACTAAGATTAATGTGTACGTCCAGCTGCGACTAACAGACAGCATTCACTTGACATTCCTGCCCATTAGAAACACAGGGGCACTATACACTTATCACACAAAGACACACACACACACACACACACACACACACACACACACACACACACAACCACCATAAAGGAGCACACACAGTGGTGCAGCTCTGGCTAATGACATGCGGGTGACTTCTGTGTTCACCATATGACCAGCAGCAAGCTGAGCTTCCTCATAACAGCACGAGATTTACAATGACAACTACTGTCAGCGAAAAATACAAGTTCAGTTTGTGTCTTCAGGTCACAATCAAGATTTCCCAAAACGAACAGAAAGAATAGAAAAATAATGGGAAATTGTTTTACTCTCTACGTTTATCTGAGAAAACCAGTATTGTGTTATAAATAAATGATATATAATTAAAAGAAGAGCACCAATATGATTACAACACACAATACACATTGTAATAATACACTTAATTTACAGTCAGCCATGTTATCCGACTAACAATAAAACAAGGAGATATATTGGGATCAATAAATCAGACATTAATAATGCCAGGAGGCTATTAAAGGGAAGTGGCATCCTGCATATGTGTCGAAACACTTTTCTTCTCTCCGTATATGAATGGAGGTGCAGTGACTGCCCACCGTCACTTTCACTTCAAACAACAAGCCTACAGAAGAACTAGAAGACTGTCAGCCATGTGTGCAAGCAAGCACAGCGATCAACATCCGGTTTGTCGTATGTGCTGACTCTCCGCATTGACTATATCCATTCACCCTCACTCATAGAAATAGAATAGGAGTAGAATGGACATCGAACTGTTATCCAAGGGTCATTTGACTAGTATAAAAGAAAATGATCAGCTGTTATTGTGACAACACACATCAGTGAGGCGGTAAAGTGTGGTTGCAGCAGTGAGCGTACGCAGCTCTGGAGACACTTGGCAGGCTAGTTCGCTTGGTAGCTTGTCCTCAATCAAGTGAGAAGTATAGGGGCCTTTTATCATTGACTTCTATACAATGGACTTCTTTTTGCAACCAGTGGGATCATTTTTCAGAACCGGAGGTCACCGCCTGGTGGTTACTGCGAAACCTCGCCTCAATGAGTCCCCAACTTGCCGTAAGTCTGTTAAGTTTATACAGAAGTCAGCCCGCTACAACGAAAGCAAAATGTAACAGTACACATGAAAACGATTCTGACCATCCTGCTACGTTGATTTGATCGCTTGCTTCAGTCTAATCACCTGTTAATAATTATTCAGGGGTTATGGTATTATGGAGAGTTTGTTTTGTTTGGCTGTAAGCAGCATGTGTACACGTGCACGTCACATACTGCCTCTTTAAAAATCGAATTTGAGGAAAACTGTCATAAGAACACACTGGGGGTCCAATTACCAGCAGTTCATGACTGCATTGTATTGTCTCAGTACTTTTACTCTGTGCAATGTATAAAGTTGAATCTAACCTGAGAAAAAAAATCAACCTCCCTGTTTTTCAAATTAACTCGGGAATTAACTCCAATAGGAGTTCCTGTGCTGGCGAACAATCAGTGCATCATTTCCTCATAGCTGGAAATGAACTCAACTGCTTCTGACAGAAAGGAAAACAAGACTGAAGACAATCTGAGGCCTGAAGACACGGAAAATAAACCAGTTCTAAATCCGTGAACAAAGATTATGACACAGTACGCCTACAGGACAATGTTCTCCAACTGGAGGGAATCATTGACAATCATATGACAGAAAGAAAAGGCATGACAACCGGCACAATGAGGAGAGTCTGCTGGGTTCAGGATGTGCGTAGCAGCATTGTCCCAATAACTTCACTGAACTTCAAGTCAGCTGAAATTCTGGGGTGATTTCTCGAGAGAACAACTTGCATAATGATGATAATTATCAACGAGCCACACAAAAACACACACACACACACACGCATATAAAAACACTGAGCCCACAACCACTATTCATATACACACCCATGCATGTGCTCATTAACCTTACAATGCAGACACACACACACGCATGCACATTCTCACTCCAAGAGTGACGAAGCATTAGTTTATCAGCTGCGGTTCACAGAGCTTTCACTACCTTCCAGCCGGTAGAAGATGTCTCTCACGGCTTTGAGCTGCGACACAAAAGAGCCGAGCCGCCTCTACAACAACACGAGCGAGTTTGTCCACATGCCTGAGTGTTACAGCTAGAACGCACACAGAACACAGAACAGCATCTGACAGAGGCCGACTGAATGAATGCCGGTAACCAAGCAGGCAGCAAGAGTCTTACCCATTTGACGGAGTCTCATCCTCTTCTGACATTTTCATCTGGCGAAAGAGTGTGTGGGTGTGTGTGTGTGTGTGTGTATGAAAGATAGACAGAGAGCTGGAAAACCGAGTGTGAGCCTGAGGCCTTTCCAGCAGTGTAATGATCTACGTCTCTTTCAGTAGCAGCAGCAGCGACAGCAGAAGCAGCAGCAGAAGCGCAGTCGGGTGAAAGAGAGAGAGAGAGAGAGAGAGAGAGAGAGAGAGAGAGAGAGAGAGA